CCTTTTAACTCCATGATTTCTCCTAACCAATGTGAGCGTTAGAAACTTCGTCGCTACGTACCAATTTGATAAGTAGGCTTGAGCGCCAGTGTTATCGCACACGCATCCGAAAGGGCGACGCTAGGAGTGCCACAGGTCAAGCAAATAGTAATCAGAAATGCCATTGTGTGTGCCAACATCTTGGAAATCAAGTTGGGCTGAAACGTGATGCGTTAAAATGGGAACTGGTAGGAAAGAGCCATTAGCAGTCGCTGGATTCCTTTGCACGAGAAAGCTATAACAGGAAGACAACTGATTTGATGGTCAGAATTCTTTTCGAAGTTTCTGAAAAAGGATATCAGGTTCAGCGATTTCGTATAAGGACCAGAAACCAATGGGATACCCTTGTACGAGGAAGAGACAGTGATCTGTTTTGGTCCATTCATTGAGCCACCGAAGGAAGGACAGTTGGTATATTCTATATAAAAATTAGTTTCAATGACGCTGAGATATTTGCAAAACTCCGGACCGCAGGTATCTGCGGAGGGGAACGAATGCGCTATTGTCCTTTCCGGGGAGTAGCGCGTTCAGCACCACACCACGTGGGTCCTTCGTTTCGCCTGTCTCTCAGCTAGTTCTATCGATATTTTTTGCCATCAGCAATCACATGTCAGCGGGGTGGTGATGAACACGCTACTTCCCGGAAAGGACAATAGCGCTTTCGTTCCCCACCGCATACACCTGCGGTCCGGAGTTTTGCAAATATCTCAGCATCATTGAAGTTATATTCGGCAATATACCCTTCCATTAAAAAAGAGTAGGCAGAAAATAATAAGTTTAAATTATAAAAATTAGTGCTGTCATTTAGGTAGACGTCAATAGCGACGATGTTAGTCCTGCTACTGTGGCGGACTTTGCACGAAAAGTCGTTCCGCGGGTGAGAGCAGACCCGCTCTACTGCTCAACTCCTGCTTGCCTGTCAAATGATGGAAAATCGGTAGAAAACTATTGGTCATCAGTCGAACAAATCAAATTTCTTGAAAAATTTTCTTTCATAAAACTACCAAGAATTATTTAATTCATTGATGAAGCCTGTGGAGTTTCGAGTTCTCGGTTGATGGTTTTCATGCATAATCTAGATTTTCATTTCCTTTTAAGCCTTAGTATCACTTTATTAGGCCACTTGGAAAACTAGGTGATTGCTTGCGGTGGTGTAGGTGTTATATTCTAAAGCTATTTTGTCAGATGGCAGCGTGGGCACGTCATTTGCACGACGTCTTCTACCTTTACGGCTTGTCCGTCAGTGACTCGCTTACAGTGGATCCCATAGGAGGACAAGCAAACGCATCTCTTATAGCCGAATTCGTTAAACGTAATTTCACTGGTAAGACCGTTATGATTCTTATAGTTCTGGCAAAACATCGTCGGAACCGCAGCTTAATGAGCTGAGGCGTCCCCGATGTTCACAATTATCATCTGTGACGAATTATGAAACGGTAACTGGCAATGAGGTGACTCCACGATCTCATTATGAAGTCCAGACAGCGAAGGGCGGGCTCTGGGCTACAGTTACACTGGTGACGAGTTAATATTTAAACACTAATGCGGTGGAGTGTAAAATTGATCTAATCTACGAAATCCGTGCTTTATCTTGAGTGGTAAAGGAGTTCTAAACTTCTGAATTTTGCGGGTTAACCCTAAAAAGATCAAAGAATATAATGATTTCATAATTTCTCAAAATTTTGATTTCGAATCAGGATATTCTCATAAAGGTGCCTGTGGCGAATAAGCAGCATTAAACTAGCTGACATTACTGTTTAAACGTTTTGTTAAGAGAGTTTTATCAATGGAACTGGCCAGTTCTTTCAGGTCTTACTGGGCTAGTCATGATAAACGATAACGGAACACGAGACCCGATATATACAGTATATGGCCTTGACAAAAGTTATGCGGAAGTTGCCTTCATTAATTTCACAATCACTAATGGAACTCCAGTAAGTTGGGACAAAATGTTAGACTAACTAAAAGCAAGCGGTAATGCAGGGCTAAGATCATTTTTAAGGTTATGTCAAAAAGCTACGAGGATGAAGCGACATCTCTTTGGTTGACACGAGGCGGTAAACGGTAAGAAGAAAATTTCACTTTTTTGGCTGCAAGTTTTTGGCCAGTTTATTTCACCATCTGTCAACTTTAATTTCGAGCTATTATTGCTCATCTACGGCTCCACTAATCGCGGCTGATGGGAGTTCTTACAGTCGAACGGCGGAGTCATCTACGCTGATAAATGATTTGACGTCTCCATCTATGACCTGTTAAAAAGCCCATGTGACGTCTCCATTTAAGTTCAGCTGAGAAAAACTTATGCCATGGCGAAGAATGATAATGTACCTAAGGCTAGTGTTTGCTCAAAAACAATTTTAAAAAGGCCGTCATGCAAAAATTTCGCGCTCCAAGTACCCCTTGAGCAAGTGCAACCCACTGGAATAACTATAGAGCGCAATAACAACGAAATAAAACATCGATATGGTACAGGCAAACTAGGCACCCTATAAAGACTTTGTTTGTCCTTGTTACTAGAGAGTGCTTATTGGGCTCCGCTTGCTTAACTAGCAGAAAGAACGCGATACTTTTGTTATAATGCTGGTTTTAAAACTGTAGACAGAAATAACTCGTTGAACTCTGTCTTGGCATAGTTTTACTGCTAGCTGGCTTCATGATGGAATTGCTGACCTCGTCCTCATCTTAGACGATCCTTTCTAGAGCACGAGTGTCCGCTGTGCATTGTAGCTCCAGCCATGATAAGTTATTAAACTACTGGGAGAGTTTATTTAGTGATTGTGCATATTTCGGGTTCATCAGAGCTCTTTTTCTTGTCTTGCATAAAATGGATAAAAGAAAACAGAAATGGATAAAAATCGCTTTATTATCAATTACAGACCGTTATCACGGCCCATATGTGGTTACAGTGGAACGGAATGTCCAAAACGCTTCTGGGACGAGGCGGTCATCTATGTTGCTGTTGGAGCAGCCCTAATTGGAATCTTCTTTTTTGCTACTACTGCGTTTATCGTCTACTTCATCAGGTAAATTGTATTTTCCTGAAGCCCTGTCACGCGGTGCATTCACTTCCTTGAACCCTAACTTCCGTATCAGATCACTTTTTCTTAGTATACCAAACATATACCCGATTTTTCAATTATTTTTTTTAAAACCAGGACAGGGGGGGGGGTGGAAGGGTAAGGGGATAGCGAAGTGGTTTGTGATATAGTACATCAGGAAGCAAGGTGCTGTATCAACACCCTCTTCAACGCACTCCTCCAGTCTACTGCAGTAACGTCTTAGCTCGGCCATCTTCTAAGACTGGAGGGAGAATTGAGTCGACCAGCATTCTATGAAATTCACAGCGAAGATGAAATCTTCAGGCATAAGCACGCGAAATGTTCAAAGACCCTTGTGGACGATGAATGTTAGAAAAACGAATTCATTGCAAAAAGTACTGGCATACGCACAGTAGATTGATGACGGATCGTGTAATATAATAAGAAATTTTATGAAAAACATTATAAGTGCTTTTTCGTCTTCGTTTTTACATTACAGATTAACAACAGATCCGACCATAGTTTCCTCAATGAGTTGAAAGCAACGCAACTATTTTTTCTTTGTATAACCCACGTTAAATTGTGGGTTGGCGATTTATTATTTGGCATCTGCATACTAAATCACGTGTGGGGCAGTGGTCGGAGGGTCTCTGCAACACACACGTGGAATCGATCCCCGTGTTTATGGCCCACCAAACCTTCCATTCCTCCGGGGTCGGCAGATTGGTACCAAACTTGTCTGGGAGGCTAGCAGCACTGGCTCGATACATCGGTAGGCCACTGCGAGTCATTGTAAAGGCCAGATATGCATTCAATCACCTCCAAATGATGTTTAATGAAGTCGAATGTATAGCGCATCTCTCAGGGATTGATCAACGCCGAGAGCGTTATCCTTTTTATCCTTTTATCTGCAGTATGTTAAGAACTTAGCACTCTTTCGTCAGTCAAAGTGGATGATAAGGTTTTTTTATCTTATGGGAATTCTTTTCTAGAATGCGCAAGCAAGAAGAGGAACAGCAGCGTTTACTGTGGCAGATTCCATATTTGAAGTTGATGAAGCCGTCGGACACTGTGAGCAACTCACGAATCTTACCATGAACTGGTGGAGAATAGAATTTTGGAATTATATTGAGTACTCATTAGTGATAAATACTAAGTTGTAACCACAATGTTAAGTTTTCAACTTTTCGTTTGCCGCCTATTACCATTTTTCACGGCGGGGTGTGATGTGAAATACAACCAATATGATGCTGAGGCATTTGCAAAACTTGGACTGCAGGCCAGATCAAATGGAGATTATCCTTTTCGGGAGCTCAAATGTTACGCATAGAACCACTGAGGCCTTTGCGTTGACTTTCTCTCAGCTAGTTCTCGACCTAACAGTGCCATCAGCAATCACGCGTCAACGAAATGGATTTGGGGAGCAAAAATCAGCATTGAACTTAAAATTAAAACTAAGTAGTAAGTTTTCAGCGCTTCCTCCTTCTTCAGAGCTTAGAAAAGTCAAATTCATAGTCTAAGCGGAAAAATTCAATACTTAAATCCTTTTTTCTTTAATTTTTCTACCTCGAAAATCTTGGTAGCAACGTGGTCGCGGGGCCAATTTCCTTTGATTGACAAAGGATGGTGACTTTGTGTAGTGACGCCTTACGTAGACGTCGCACCGTGTTGTTCTTTGAGCGTTATGGGCAAATGTTGGTAGAGCAGCATCAAAGCGAGCGATGTGCTGGAAACCAGAAATCCTTTCTAGATGTGGTCAGTTGAAATGTGGTTTAAGTGTCAAGTTGAGTCATCTTGAGATGGCTCACTCTGCTACACGCTATAGTCCTATAGCAAGGAATATCCATTGCAATGGCGATGATTTAAACTGTAAAACTTGAAAACAGTTGAAAATAGATGGGATGTTAAATATATAATATATATATGCGCATATATATGTATATAAGAATTGAGTATTTTATGAGTACCAGCACAACATTCTAAAAGTTATTCCAGCATGAACGACAAAAAGAAAGCAAGCGTTCGCTTCAATCAGGACCATCAGTGACGACGAGCAACTCGAGATTTTCGTCACAAGACAATTTCGAACCATACGAAGTCTACTTTCTCGACAAAGAATCTGTTCTAACAATCAAGTACCCCATCACGCCACTAACACAAGAGGACTGCCTGAACTTTTCCAAGGTTTCTTAATGACAGCGCCAACTTATGTGCTTTCGGCTTACCTTCACGAACCACACGAGATTATCGGTAACCTCTTGTATGCCAGCTTTCCAGTGGAAGGCGAGATGATCATTAGAATAACAAGCAGAGATAAGAGGACTAGAGGGTATCACTATTAGTTGACGATAATATGAAGCTTTACCACTATTAATTGACGGCAATTTAAAACTCAAGAACTCACAAAGGAACGAACTCTAACTCACAAAAACTAGAAAACAAGAGCCTTTACTTCAATCTATTTCGATGGTGAAATTTTGCCTCATCTTCGTTGTTTTCTTGCAAACTGTCCTCATAATGTACATTTGTTTTAGTTGAGAAAGCTTCAGCAAGACAACTTACATCGCTTTCTTGGTCTGTCCATTGACGGTCCCGAATACGTAGCCATCTGGAGACTATGTTCCAGAGGAACACTTCAGGTTGTATTAAGTCCCCTTGTCACTTTTTTACAAAATAATTTTTTCTTTGTTCCAGAAAATTATATGCAGAGGGTCATCATGGTTCGATCCATTTTTTATGTTCTGCATTATGAGGGACATTGCTCAGGTGACAAGTGACTTCCGAAATCGCTTGAAAATTTCTTAAATTTTAATGCTGTCACAGGGCCTTCGATTTCTGCACAGCTCATTCATTGAGTCCCATGGTCGTCTTAGCTCGGAATGTTGTCTGGTTAATGAAAGTTGGCAAGTAATGTTGTCAGATTACGGCACTTCATCGCTTCAAGAAGAGAACCACCGAAAAAAGAAACGTAGGGAAACCTTTTCGTAATTTGCTAAAGCATTCTAAAGAATTATTTTATTAAAAAGGGATAAGTCCTAAAAGTTACGCCAGAGAAGTATAAATGAAATTATTTTTTAAAAAAATGTAGGACAAGCAACGTTTAGGGGAGTCATATAAATAGATATAAATAGGCCATTAACTTTAAACCGTCGATAATCGGGATATTGGACAGTCAGATGTAGAATTTAAGGCAATGGAGAAAAAGACGCTCCAAAAGATTACTTAAACAAATTCGAACTAGCTCTTTGCAACACATCCTCACAGCATTGATTCCAAAAATCTTGTGCCGAAGATTAAAGCCGTGAAGGTGAAGGGGTAGAGGACGACACGCTGTAACCAACAACCACCATTTCATTTCTTTAAATGGAACATGTCCACTCATAACGGTTCAAGAGATTGCGAAGGAGTCTGCTATAAACACAATCATTTCGGGACGTACTACGGATTCTGTGCTGCAATCGACAACGTTCTCCACAGGATTGGACAAAGATGCAGCACTGGAGCAAAGTCAATTTTGAACCGGGAAACGTTTACTATTTTTTTGTGCTTAGCATACACATAGGGTCATCCCGTACAAGGCTCTTAATCCTAGCAGAATTACAGCAAAAGGGTTCGGAAATAGACATTTTCCATTGGACATATCCTGGCTTAGAATAAAATAATATGAAATCATAATTTAGCCACAATAATAGGAGGCAACGCTTGCATTCTATATACGTAAAGCTTTACCGTCATTAAATACAGTAAAATTTCCCAGTCGCTTTCATTGCAGTTGGAGCAGTCTGCTGCAAACTAGACGTGTTTATATAAACTTTAAAGTTAAAAGTGGAGGTTATTGCTTTTAAAATACTGTACTACTTTAACCACTAATACTTTTACTATACTAAGGATTTCTATGGACGGCTCCTGAACTTCTTCGAGGTTCAACAGAGGATACTCCAACTTGCTCTAAGGCAGGAGATATTTACTCCTTTGCTATAATTTCATCGGAAATAATCACGCGAAAACCCCCTTGGAATTATCAAGAACGAAAAGAAAGCTTGGATGGTTAGTCTTTCTATCCTTAGTCCTATAATGTTAACTCATGGCTGAACTTCGTTTCACCGTAATGGTGTGTTTCAGAACTATTGTACATGATCAAAAGGGGCGGACATACACCTATACGCCCAGATCTCAGCACCGATGGCGAAATCAACTCTGCCTTGGTAGACATCCATGCAGTATTTCGTTGTTTTCTTTCAGCGTAGATTTTTCTTCTCAACTTCAGCTTCACCTTATTCGCGATTGCTGGAATGAACGAGCCTCTGAACGTCCTACAGCTGATACCATATGTAAACTTTTGGAGGTAGCTTTGCAAGATCTCTTTTTGCCATATAAATCTGCATTGCTGTTTTGTTTACCTATTCCTAAATTTTTGCAGACGACGAACTCTGAAAAGAAGGGCAATCTCATGGATCACATGTTTACCATGCTTGAGGATTACACAAATACACTTGAGCTGGATGTCGAGGAGCGAACGAAGGAGCTACAGGAGGAAAAAAAGAAGGCAGATATTCTTTTAAGGCGAATGCTACCGAGGTATGTTCGATTTACAACTGAGTATCCCCAAAGAAAATTTTACTTGCACGGAAAGACGACATGAAAACACTTTTTTAACGCCAGCCATTGTAGCCAAGTAGCTGATCGCCTGATGTTGGGCCAAACGGTAGAATCGGAGAGCTTCGACTGTGTTACAGTATTTTTTTCCGATGTTGTCAAATTCACCCAGTTGTCTGCAAAATGCAGTGCCTATCAGGTAGGGCAGTTTAGTAGTTCAATAGCCCTCGAAAATATGTGTTGAAGAGTGCCTTCATTTACAGACTGTGAACCTCCTCAACGATCTCTATAGCGGCTTCGACTCTATTATAGAGGAGCACTGCGTTTACAAAGTATCAAACACCGATCTCCTTTCGACTTTGTTTCTCTAGAAGCTTCTTGAGAACAAACCATTGTTATTAGAAATGATGTCGCTCTTTATAGGTCGAATCGATCGGTGATGGCTATCTATGCGTTTCTGGCCTTCCACTTAGAAATGGGCACAATCACATAAAAGAGATTGCAGAACTATCGCTCTCATTCATGGACTTTGTTAACGATTTCCGAATCGCGTCTCTTCCAAAGGAAAGAATTCAACTTCGAATCGGAGTTAACTCAGGTCCTTACGAGACTTCACTAAGCAAAACGATATGGATTTTTCGCTCTTTCTATGCCAAAATAAAGCTCTCATCTCTGTACTGGATGCAACTGTTTGTTGAACGCAAACTTTTTGTACTGGTCTCACACTGGACTTTCTAAGTATCGAGAATTGTTTTTAATTCTCATAGATGACTTCTTTAAAACTGCTCATTTTTTAAGAAGGCAAATTTCTTTTAGAAATTATTTTATTGCAGGTCCTTGTGTAGCCGGCGTTGTTGGGTTGAGCATGCCCCGATACTGCCTCTTTGGTGACACCGTGAACACCGCCTCGAGGATGGAAAGCAACGGAAAGGGTGAAAGAACAGTTCTTGTAACTAAATATCAGACTCTTATAAAAGAACATCACTCCGGTTCTTGTGAGCCAGCGCTTTCAGTAAAGGATAACTGCAACAAAATTTGCATTTCACTTGCTACATGCTATTTGTTAGCCTACAAAAATGGAAAAATTTACGCAGCCTTCGCAGTCAGTTGAGAAATTCCTTCATCCCCTCTCTAGTAGAGTTTTTAAGTTTAGTGTATTCTTGGTAAGGCATTGACACCTCATGTTCAGCACATTTTTGGTGGTGCTGTCCAGGGAAAATATAATTGATTAGCATTAAGTCCATCTACCATATCTTTGCAAAATTTGTCTTGGTAGCCACGATCACTACTATCATATATCTTGCAATTCCTGGCTTCCAATTGAATTGTATGTGTTTCTTACGAATTTGAACTGATCTTTTGTTTAACATGCCTGTCTTTTTTGTACTGCTTCCCAACACTGTGCTCCACCCTCCAGAACACTGGACAAATACCATACCATTTCGAAGAGGATACGATAAATAGACACTAATGGATGTCTTCGAACGATTAGTGAGAAGAAGCCTTTCAAAAGATCTTGGAGGGAGCGCTTTTGTTTAACTCTTAAGGTTCCGTGTGAGTTGATTTTTACTCACACGCGGATATAACGGCCGCATTTAAAATTTGAAATTTTTTTCCACGAGCCAAAGCGCTATTACCCTTTACGAGGCAGAAACAATGGACCCGCATGGTGTGGTGGAAGAAACAAAAGATCCGCATGGTGTGGTGGTGTACGCGTTAGTCCCCGAGAAAGGTAATACCGCGTTTGTTCCCCACCGCAGGCACCTGCGGCCCAGTGTTTTCTAAATATCTCAGCATCGTTGTTGTTGTTTCACACGCAGTACCATGCCTGAGAAATTATAGTAGGCATAAAGTAAAAAATTTAACATTGTGATTTCGACTACAGCCTGTGCTCAGAGAATGAAAGCAATTAAGCAATCGGTATCTCGTTCATTATATCACAACGATATTCCTGTTGTTAATGCTCACAGAGCTGCTGGGATTTCGTTTGTAACTTTAAAGGTTCCTATATCGTTTTCATTTTTTCTTGTTTATACTTCTACAGAACTGCAAGAACCAAAAGACAACGCTGAAGAAAAATGCTCACCCTCTAATAGATACAGAAAAGCCCGACCTAAGCCGACCAATTTCTGTTTCAGAAGTATTTTGCTTATCCAAAAACTATCAGCAGTTTACAAAAAACCAGCTTCGGATTCCTAAGTTTATAGAAATCCCTCGTGATGCAGTTCTAATTTGATATTTGCAGTACTTAGATTGAAATATGCTCATTCGTTGATGTTATAGGTGTGTAAGAACAATATTCCATAACCGTAGAAGACAGTATATATTGCCTCCCGGTTATTCAACAACACGTGAAAAATTTTTCATGGCAGAGGCGTTTATGTCATTGTCTAGTTCGGCAACTTGTTCTTTTTCTGCCTGCAAATGCTGTTACCTAACAGTAACTGGAAATATTGTAAGAGCTAGACAGTACTGTAGCATAGTACGAGCCGTTTACCGTCGAGTGACCAGAGCGAGATTAAGTAAATTTTCCATTTGTCTTTGTGGTATGCTCAGTGGGTTCTGTTCACCCTAGTGATTCGCTGAGCATCATATCTTTTTTCCAGAGTTTAACTGGAGAATTCTGAGCATCAGGCCGATGGTCATCCTGCCCTCTTGATCGAGATCTCGAAGAATCCGATAGCTTGCTGCCCTTGTGCATCAGTTGCCCGTTCTGACGCATTGCGTGTTCGGCGCACCTGATTTCCGACATCTCGGCTTGTGAAACAGCTGTCTCTAGGAAAAACTGGGAAGCTACCCATGAGTATATCAAATCCCTCCTTCTCCCAGGTTCACATCTCAGGAAGCTATACATGGGTACCAAGCACTAAACATGGTAAAATAAGTGGGCCTCATTCCTCCGAACCGAAGGAGCCCCAGATAGGGCAGCGTGGGTAGCACGAGTGTCGAGAGGCTGCTGTTATAAAATTCCAGGCCCATTCTAGGCTGGCTAAATCGCAAAAGACTAAGGTGACGATCTGTCCCTATAGTGCACGCACACTTGCATCTGAATCATCGATAAAAGTATTGGTCATATAGACAGGAAGGATAAGATATGACATCATCGGATTGGCTGAGATGAGAAGACACCACCCTTTCAATGTATATGACACTGGAGAAGAACTGTTTTTCGGAACATGCGACAGTGGAGGAGTCGGCGGTGTCAGCGTTCTCGTCAACGCGAGTTTAGTCATGAACATTGATTCATTCGAACAACTAACAACCTGAAACGGTTATTCACGGTTGAAGAGATGTGAATCAATACCATCTTTGACAATCATCGTGGTCTGCGCACCGACATGAGAAAGAGGAAGATGAAGCCTACTATATGTACTTGGCAAAATTCTACAGGAAAGACCATAAATTCTGTGAGGTCATCGTTAGGTATTATAACGCTTAGATTGGACTCAGGTGAATGTTTGAAGAACATCACATTTGGACCCACGGGCTGGATTGGCACGAGCGCAGTGAGCGGCTGTTCGAGTTTATCATGACGAAGGCGGCCAAAACCGTTCATGCCAAGTCACAGTCCCAGAAGCTCTGGTTTCAACGGTGTACATTGGAGTCACCCAATAGAGGACAGTACCTTAACGAAATAGAGCACATCATAGTAAATCAAAGGTTTAACCTAACCGATGTCGCTGCTGTCCCAAAATTCAAACTGGATCAGACCATCGCCTCCGTTGTGCAAGATTTCATTTCTCGGAGAAGAGAGAGAAAGCCGCTTAATTCAAGAAACGAAATTTTAGAAGCACTATAAACTGAGCTTTATCCAGTTCATCAGACGGCTATTGGATGAATGCTATTCTTGATCACACTGATAAGGAATACGATTGCCTTATTCAACATTTCATTAGGGCTATGAAAGCTAGCAGTTTGAAGGTCTTGAAGAGACGTCTATCTCTGGAAACACTCGAGCTGAGAAGTAAGCGTGGAATAACACGTCTTATATACAACCGCCAACTCACGTTCAAAGTTCCAAACAATGTGAGGCAGGCAGAATGGTTGAAGCTGCAGAGTATGGAAAAGCATTTGCAAGGCCCACCGAAGCTTCGCCAGCTACAATACCAAGATCGTTGCATTCCGACTTCCTGACGGCGCAGATACAGGAAAGGCAACGGAGAAAATCATTTACGATTGCTGCTGGGATGTCTTTAATAGCCAGATCCTCCTGCGCTCATATGAAATAAATGAGGATGAATATATCGTTTCGTCAGTTGTTCCTTCCAAAACCATACACGCTATTTCGTCGGTGAAAAATCGAAGAACACCTGTTCCGTGTACGATAGTGCCTGAACAAGAACCTTCCTCCAGTCCTCAAGAACAAACCTCACACGTTACCAGTCAGAATGCAACGTTCGTAATCGATGAAAAACCAGTAAGACTGCATTATTGTTTAAGAAGAGTGACCAACCCGATATTGACAACTTACTATAGCAAAACTCATTGAAGTATTGCAAAAGTATAAGAGAACGCTCTGTCTCACTTTCATCGACTTAAAGAAGGCTTTTACCTCAATTAAGATAGAAGCAGTCATGGAAGCCTTGGATAACCAGATCACCTCTACTCACCATATAAAGATTCTTCGTGAGCTATATAAAAAATTCGCAATAAAATATACCCCTTCTACAACAATATTACTGTCGATGTAGAAAGAGAGTTTAGGCAGTATGATTCCATCTCGTCAGAACTATTTACCGCCACCATCCAGAACGTCATGCGAACATTAGAATGGGATAATATGGGAGTGAAAATCGATGGTCGGCAGTTACACCATTTTCGCTTTGCTGATGACTTTGACCTTATAACACCAAACATAAGCCAAACGGAACTTATGCTTACCAACTTTGCTAAAGCCTGTGGAAAGATTGATCTTCGACTAAATCTCACGAAAGCGATGCTCATGAGGAATAGACTGGTTTTATTACGCCCCCATACACGCTCAACGGTACGAATATCTCGCAACGTTCCAGCTACATCTAGATAGGAAACTCAACATGACGAATGACTTAGCTTCAGAGTTGAGACGTTTTTCACCCAACGATTCTTCCTGCCTTAAGATGCGTCAGAGGTCTAGTCGCTACGTAAGTAGGGCGAAAGATCACTCAGAGTTATCGAAAGTGCAGTGTTAAAGCGATGCTAGAAGTATCCCATGTTACTCAAATGAGAGGAGGGCTCTAACTAACATCAAATATCAAGAACCAGAGACGCCGTTCTATACGACAAGCTGTCGAAGATGGGCCGGACACGAAGTGCATATGAACGACAACCGACGGACGAAAGCCGTTAGTGACTTGATTTTTTGGGGTGTTCAACGCACTCCAGGAAGACTACCGACTCGTTCAGAGTTCTTCACGATAACCCTACAAGTAAGGTAAGAAGCTAAAAGGATCCTCAGAGCGAGAAGAACCCATTGGAGTACTCATGCACTCGATGGGGAGAAATGGAAGATTTACTGCCCTACGCGCCAGTCACTCGATGGTCAACGGGATGACAGGTGGTAAAGGTTGTGATATGTTTTCTATAAATCGCTTCGATGTCAACTTTAATTTTTCGTGCCACTTTTTATATGAGTTCTGGACAGAGCTGAAAGACGTGGACACCTCTCCTTTAGTAATTAACATCGAGATTGCATACTACCTGTTGAGAAGTGTCCATGAGACATCGCTCAAGAAAACACACAGACACATGTGATGCGCACCCCACCTATCCAGTTATATATATATATATATATATATGCATGTATATATATGCCTACATATGTATGTAAACGTGCGCCACACAGTTCTTAACACTTATTTCATTAAGATAACACTAGGTTGTTACAAATCATTTATTCGACTAATGTTTCGGCATCCTCGTCTTCTTGGGAGCAGATGATTAGGGTCGAAGCTCACAGTCGTCCGTGTTCTTGAGGTGCCATATTCGTCTTTGTATTGAGTCGAGTATTCTTCAGTGAAGCACCTCTTGAGATTTAGGCAGCCTCAATCTGCAGCGCTCTTTTGCACGGGACAATTGTTGTTGATAATAGCTATACGACGATGATAGTTTGTTTTGACGCCAAATCGAGAAGACGAACGACTGTGGACAACGACTTGGACCATCGGCTCTGAGGAAGACGAGGACGTCGAAACGTTAGCCGAATAAATCTCTTTGTCAACCTTGTGTTGGCTTAACTATCTAAGAACCTATTAATTATTACCACCGAGCTTAAATGACGGTCGGTTTGCAAATTATTTAGATGTTATCAATGTTAGGAATGGGCTGGTGTGGGTTGATTTAAATTCAGTGTGGGCGCTAAAAAAATAAACATTGATTATATGCAGAAACCACAAATAAATCCGCGGCGTAATTTAATTTTTTAGTTTTAGCAATCATCTATATTTTGGAACATTTCAGCAGGTCATATCCATCTCTCAAAGGGATCGCGTGTTTTGCTCGACAACCATTTTCATAACGTGTATGAGGTTCGGTCAAGAGGAGAAGTGATCATAAAGGTTAGCACATTTGATTTCGCCTATAACTTCCACTTGTGTAATCTTTGAAGCTAAAAGCTTTCTGAAGACCTTAGAATATCTAGTTCACAATGCAGTCTCTCTTCCCCTTTTAAGATGGAGCGAAAACGTTCTCTAGAAATTTTTTGAGATTTTTGCGCTGTTTTCTAGTTAAGCTGTAATATACGTTACCATACTTTACTGTTGACATTAGTGACTCGACGAGCTACCGGTATTAATTCGAATCTCGATATTCACTCTTGAACCTTCATAGCGATTTTCATAAAGTGCTGAGCTTCCATGCCGTAAGGTCGTGTAATTTCAGGGAAAGGGTGTCATGGAAACGTTCTGGTTGATAGGCCGACAAGGCGCTTCGACGA